GATAGCACTAAAACCGAATCCCGCCGTGACATTCAGTCCACCAGTACTATCTTTTATCACGTGGGACATTAGCGTTAAGAATATTCCACTAAAAATTCCCAATAAAGCTGTATATACAGAATAACTGCCATAACTGGTCGCGAGAAATGGACTCAGCAGTGTTGATATGCCTGCTAGCAAGAGGCTAATGCCGAACAATCGGGTGCTGTTCAGACAACTGCAACTGACATAAAGAATTGCCGGTGGAGACAACCTTCCAATAATGGAGCCTGCTGCAAATATGGAAACCAATAAAGCAAGTCTTTCCGGTGATGCCAGTTTGATATTTGCGGTATACAGCACCACGTACGCAGGGGTACTCACAAAACCCAAACCAACACCAAAAAACTTGCATATACACAATAGGCCAAACGTAGGAACATTACAGAACACTTTCAACCCGAATGCTGTAACCACTCTTGTTAATGGAAAACAGCAACTACTTTGAGACCCACTTGTCTCGTCGATTGTGTTTTTACTGTCGCAATTTTTGACATTGTCTTCTTTGTTACGAGATGTGTTTATTGTTACATGGGTTCTGAACAATGCACCAGATATAAACATATTAGCGTTGATTGCGGAAAAGACGATCAGGGTTCCACGCCAACCGTATGTTTCCAACAACAGTTGATTCAGAGGTGTGAAAATAAAAGTGCCAGTTGCGGCACCTGAAACCGCTGCAGCATTTGCCAGGCCGTACTTCTTCTTGACAAAAAGCGGTATAATTCCAAGTGCGGGACTCATAATGAGGCTATATCCAACTCCTAGTGAGAAAAAAATACAGGTGATTTTGGCGATATTTTGAAGCTTTTAGGTTGGCGTCACAAGAAACGAGTTTTTGTATCAATTCGATTCTGCGACGAGGATTGATTTTATTCTGTTGGTAATCACCAGTGACAGCTAACGTCAATCTAAGAAACAAATATCATGGAATTATATATTTATCACATCCAAAAACACGACAGTTCTGTCCTGTATTAACGTCACGCACGTTTGCATGTGATAAATATGTGATATGAAACACGTTAGGCTGAATTTTTGACCAAAACATTTCTTTGATATTTGATGAGACGACGCGACTTAATATGTGTATGTATAAAACAGTTAAAAATGAACTACTTTAAAAATGAATGATATCAAGGTTATTGTCATAAGTAATAATAAAATCATCGTCAACTTACCAACAAACACTCCATATGTTAGATACAGGACATTTATACTAGGGGCAAATGAACTGCTAAAGAATCCAATTGAAGATATTAAGGTTCCCGTCATAATGGTTGCCCGGTATCCGATCTTCTTCACGCACATATTAGCTAATGGTCCTATAAATAATCACGAGTATTGGACGATCTTAATAAATAACAGTGATTTACTAATATTATATAAATATTCAAATGAAAAGTTCATTTTATTACGATTTTTTAAGGTGATGCGGAATGTGCATATAATTTACTGTAAACAAGTAATTGCAAAACACAGCCCCCGTGAAGCCACTCTATGATAAGTTATCCACTGGTGTAGTTTTCAGGGCATGGTTCAGTCAATATAAAATACATGTTTTGAATAATTGCAGAGATCATTCACGTTAAAAGTGACAAGAACTGTTCGACAGCTCATGCAAGTGACGCCCATCATCTACAGTGAAACTGCTACGACAAGACAGTATTGTGACATAATTGTCCCTGCATTGAGAGGCGTATTCATCTGATTTGGCAAGTGCAAGCAATAAACGTTATAGTTATGAACTGGCAAGTTTGATGTGAGTACCGTGTAATCGACATCATTTTCACCTCTATTAAACGGTGAACGCAAAAATATAACTGGATTGCCACACAGGAATGGCATGGATATACGTGAAAATTTTGGACATTGCGGTTTTCGAGTATACAAGCTTCGTGAATTAAGGATGAAAGTTCCACAAGTTACAGTACATTCAATATTTGGGTTAAGAGTTGTCGAATTAGATTCCACTTGGATTTATCGAATGGAAACCAATGCCGACTTTGTGTATGTGCGACATAACAAGTCGATATTTGGTTAAATAAAATGTTTGAAGTGATCGATGGAGAACTGGTGATTGTACTGCCGGGAAAGGTTAATTGCAAGAGAGACGTGAGTAAGTTTTGTTAAGAGCCCTTGAAAGCCGTGCCGGTAACGTTACATTGACTGTCAGAGGTATTATCCAAGTCTACGTGCGACCAGCTAGACAAATATGACATTGTGTAATTATATGATTACAAATACTACCTAATCAAGTGTAACTAGAAATCACATCACCATACCCCCTGTATTTCCGTAACTCGTGAGAGACTACTAAACATTAATTAAAATTACTACGAGTATATTTGACGGGAGTCCAGCATAACAAAAATGTATTGGTGTTATTGAGTTTCATCTATCTATCGATTGATTGGGGAATTTCCAAAAAGTGAACAATTTCTTTTTTTTCAGATGTTTAATCTGAACTGTACTCGATTAGCAGTTATACTATTTTCTAGCTCCATTTTTAGTAACCTTGCTCCATTTTTAGTAACCGTGCTCCATTTTAAAACTTATGTAATCTGTATTCCAAATTGCGCATAATATTACTTAATCTTTATTGTAAGTTTCATAGTTTGTGTCAATATTCAAACAGAATACGATTATGCAACGATTATTGTTAGTAGTAGCAATGGCAGTAGTAAGCACGTTTTGTTTCTGCTAGTAACCAGCTTGTGTCTTAGTTTAATTCGTTGTGTACGAGAAATTAAAAAGTAAAATATTAGCCGCCCAAACACTGAAAATAAACTTTTGTCGTTTTTGTTGTTGTTAGAAGCAGACACTCATTCGAATTATGTTACAATAATTCTGTGATTTAATATTTTCGTCAAGATGCAATTTAAATTCATTTGTAAAGTGAAATTGCAAATATGAATCTATTTTCAAAAATAAAAAGAGGTTTTCAAATGTATAAATTGTATTTCGTATTGTAATCATCGTTTCTACTACTTATGTTTTTAAGATTGATATCGATTTTAATTGTAAAATCGACAAAATAATTTTAAAATGCAAATAAAAATGTTAATCATTTATGAAAGTGACTAATCCAGGAAAGATTTTGAACATGGCAAATTTTAGGTTCGACCAATTTTGGTTGTGAAATGAGATGAAAATCATATATTATTTTTGATAGTACTCCTAATATAGCACGCTATGTATTGACATTTAATTTAGTGATCTTCCACTTTGATAAAGCCCATTGGTTGTGCAGTACATATGCATTTTTTAAAGCCAAGCTATTGAGCCTAGAGTTTTGTAAACAATGACTGGCCTAAACATTTGAAAGTTGTGGTTAAATACAATGAAACAGTTACTCATAAAATCTCAGTCGGTGTACTTGTCAGTTAATTAATAATAATAAACAATAATAAATATTTCTGTAGAAATTGTGTAAACAGTTAAAAGTTTAGTAAATTTCGGTATTTTAAAAACAAAAATGTGGGCTTAAAATGCAAAATCACAGAGTGCATCCACCCCTATCATAAAAAGTACCGCACTGTGAAACAATCCCACTCGGATATCTGCTTCCAACAACAAATGCCATCAAAGGTATAAATAGGCACATTTTCAGTGTTTGGCGGCAAGTACAGTACAGTAGGCGTATTTTCCATGTTTTTGTATTCACTGACAGAGGCGTATTATGTGTGACATACACACAGTGAAATCGATTGGTCGCTGCCACTATTTGCCTGTAACTTTCAATAGTACTCACCTAAACACATCTGTAGAAACAGTGTTAACGAAAGTATCCATGAAGTAGTGGCAGAAGAAGCCCCAAAATAGCCCTGCAACGCCACAAACATCGGACCTATGGATTGATAAACACCGAAAACAAACATGCAGCATACATGGGAGCCTAGAACGACGAGCCATCCTGAACAGCCACCATCCGCCATGTAGAATGACGTCAAGTTATGCAGTATGTAATGGATACTGACGACATCATGACGTTGTACGACCAGTTAACACGCTAAATCGAAGGACAGATAAGCGTGGCGTAGAACAGCTTTCTCATTGCAGCTGTCCTCCATCGTTGATCTATCAAGGTCATTAAGGAACTTCGCTAATGTATTCTTTACGGGTGAGTGTGCTGAAAAAGAGGTCAACTCTCGATGCTTTGCATGGACTGTTATGTGCATGACGTCAAACAATTAACAGCTTGTTTTTTATGTTTGGTAGGCGGGCTATTATTTAACATAACGACAATGGCACCAGTAAATCATGTATGTCCATATAAACGTTTATTTATAAAGTTGCAATTTAGTTTATTCAGTAATTATGTAATTTTCGCTCATTGACAAAATAAGTTCAGTTTTCTCGTGCATAATGATTAGTCAATTTTCGGCTTTTCCACTGACATCTCGAGTACTAATCATCACAACTTGGTACATAGATGCTCTAGAACTTAGCAGATACCAAATTATGTGGGTAAAAATGTGTGCATATTAATCAGCTTATTTGCATAAATGATCATTTGCATAGATTTAAATTTAATTCATCCCAGAGGTGCTCTGGAACTAATTAGACTAAAAACCACGAATTTTCTGTATGTATTCTAAATTTTGATAATGGTGAATCACATTGTTTTCACGTTGTGCATCTCAAATACTAGTAGCAGAAAAAATATTAGTTGACAAGCTTCTTGTTTGAAAGGCAAATCTTAAATTTTGGATTAATTTTAATGTGTCTCCAATACTCTTAGCACACGGGAGTTTATTCTAAGCTTCCTTTGATATCTTCTATTTCTTTAATCTACAATTCAGGTGTGGGGTTATCTTGAAGAAAGGGGTTAATTAATAAGGGGTATATACAATTGAAATGGGACGGGTACTGGAGGGGTGGGGTTATGATTAGAGTTATAGGTGAGGGACCATTACCATTAAGACAATAAATTGGAACGTTCAGCTTTTGAAATTCGGCGAAATGGCGCGTTAATTTGTGAAAGAGAATTTAATTAAAGCGTGAAGGTCGCACGCGCTAAAAACGCAAAGGCTCATGGGTAGACGCTTGTTTGTAAACAACGACACGCTATGACTATCTTACGCATGCGCAAGCGACGATTTCCCCACTTTAATTCAGGAGTTAATCCCGTTATAATCGGAGATATACGTACTACTACCGGATTTTTGTTCAATGGGGAATAAAACTGGCAAACGCCACTATCTTTACATAACAGCACACAATTATTAAATAATCAAATCAAATCATGTGAGTGAGTTGAATAAGTGGGCGCGAGATATATGGGTCTCATGTAAACAAAGATGGCGACTTGGACTGTTACGATAATCAACGAGTACAAACTGTGACGTTGAGTATTTTTAAGTGATTGGAAGGCATCGAAGAAGTCACCGGCGGTAATTAGTGCAAGTCGCGCCCAGATCAAACCTCATACTTGTGATTTCCATTAGAAGAGCGCATTAGATTGTTGGAAAATCGATACTTTAATATCAACACAAATGTCGCACACCACCCTTTAAATGTCGCCCTTGTTTTCAACCAGACAATTTGTGAAGTCTTTTGCGGGGGACAGTGCGTTTTACAGTGGCGAGGCGTATTTGCCGAGTTGAGAGTTCGAATCTCGTGTTTTATGTTTGTATGTTCGTAATGTTTCTGTCATTTGGGATTATTACATCATTGTAACTTTATCAGTATTTTGTTGAACTGTTTCATGTAGGAGTGGCATGTTGTTGCATATTAATAAC